GCCACCGCAGCACCCTCGGAGTCAAAAATCCATTTAAATCTTCCTGAATCAGGTTAAAATCGCGACTCTGAGCCCTTCGGGAAGACGAGGAGGGCTCAGTTGCAGCCAAGCCTGGCCCGGACCCAGGTTGTCCCCATCCCTTCAGCCCTGCAGAGCTCAGTTCAGCCCATCTGGCTTTTCCATTTTCCCTGCTACCTGTGCTGGGCTGCAGCAGCTTTCAGGCACACCCGGGGTGGGACCACGTCGAGCAGGAACTCGCCCTCACTTGTTATTAAATTACATCCTGACCCGGTTAATCCGTAGCTGATTAATTTTGGGCTCTATGGCTGGCTATGAGGAAGGTTTCATCTGTCTCGTGGCGTGTACTGAATGTCCCAGGCTCTCTGATGATAATCTGATTTTTTTTTTTTTTTCTCGGGGTGGAAAAATCAGAATGAGGCATGAGAAGAGGGGAGGGTTATGGGGGCTCAGCAGGGATGGACACCTCCATCCCAGGGCCAGGAATCCGGTTTGGGATCTCCCTTGTGTACATCTTTGCCCAGAGAACACGACACCAGCTCTGGGGAAACTGAGGCACAGAGAGGGAAGTGGCTCGTAGGGGTTGGTGGTGGTCGATGTTTCAGGCTGATCTTTTGTTTCCTGGTTCAACTGCATAGAATTCCAGACTGGTTTGGGTTGGAAGGGACACTTTCCCCCAGCCCAGGTTGCTCCAAGCCCCATCCAACCTGGCCTTGGACACTTCCAGGGATGGGGCAGCCACAGCTTCTCTGGGCAACCTGTGCCCTCGGGCAGTTTAAAGACAATCTGTGGGTTTAAATATTCAAAGTCCTACCCCCCTTTGCCCCAGACACATTTTAACCTCTGCTTTAAAAACAAGGGAGTCTCAGGACCAGCTGCTCCTGAGCCCTGGAATCCTTCACCCCGTGGTGGGGGCAGGAGAAACTCTGGGACTGCCAAATATTTCGGTGTATTTTGGCCCCTTTTCCATTTCTCCACTATCCCCACGTGGAGGACTTGACAGCAGAGGCAGCTTTTCCCACACCCCTGTCATCCCTTGGAAGGCTGGAATTGTTCTTTCCTGTATTTTTATCACTCACAAACCACCAGCATCTCCCTCCTCCTTCTCATTCCCTCAATTTAAACACCTCGATCTGCACACACCTCTTGTGAGCCACGAAGTTTTTGCAGGATCTCCCCCCCTCACCCCCCCCCGCAGCTCCTTGTTTTCTTTCCAGAGGTGATTCCTGCCCTGCTCCACCCATGGGCACCTCACTGAGCATCCCAGGACTCTGTGCCCGAGCCAGAGCTCAAATATTAATAAACTCAGCCCGAAATCGAGGGCATTGAAGTGTTTAACTTGTGTCTTTTCGCATATCGCACCCCCCCAAAATCCCCTCCCGCGTGCAGGGGCGCGGTGTTGCTAATTGAGGGGCACTTCAATTAGCAGGGAAGAAGGAAAAATTCCCACTGTGGAGGTGCAGCGGAGCCACCTCAGCTCCATCCTGGAGCCGCAGGGCTGGAATCGGGCTGAACTGCAGGTAATTAGTGCTGCAGAGAGAGAGAGAATAATTAGCACCGGCTCATTACTGCAGTGAAAGGCTCTGTGGACCGAAGCTGGTGCCCGGCACAGGGCTCAGCCCGGCCCCACATGGATTTCCAAAGGCACCGTTTTGCTTGGGAATTAGGGAAAACCCAGCCCGAGTGTCACTGCCTCGTTGTGTTCCAGGACCGCTCCTGTCTTCCCCTCCTTGTTCCCACCCCGCTCCAGCTCGTCCCGTGTCAGATCCCAGGGAAACTGTGACGAGCCGCACTTCTTCCCCGCAGGGAAAACGAAGCTTCCTGTGCAAACAACAATTCAAACAATAATCTGCTGCCAAAACTCCCTCCTTTTTGCCGGATAATCCCTCTCTGCGCTGGGTGGGGCCGGGGGTGGGTGTTTGGTCTCCCCTCTGATGTCAGAGCTGAGCGTGCAGAGCTGCTGGGCAGTGATCCCGTGCCATCGCTCGCTGGATTCCGGGTCCCTCCTGGGTGCAGGACACCCTCGGCGTCCAAATTTGCCCGTGGGATAAATTCCAGCGGCGCTGGGGGACACCAGGAGGGCGGGGGGGGGGGGGGGGGGGGGGGGGGGGGGGGGGGGGGGGGGGGGGGGGGGGGGAGGATTAGAAGGAAAGGAGTGCCAGAGGGAATGCCTGGGGCAGCCTGGCTGGGGGAGGTTGAAATCTTAGTGCCAGAGGGTGTTTAAAGTCACCTTGGGCTGAACACAAAGGCAGAGGCTCCCGGGGGTGTCCGGGGTGCGGCCAAACCCTCCGGGGATGCGGGAGTTGTGTAACCGCCCTATTTCTTGGAGGCAGCGACGTTATTGCGGGCATCTCCCCCCCTGGATCCGTCTCCCCTGGACCACAACCCTGCTTTGACTCCAGGGATATTCCTATTAACGGCTAAAGCCTCTCAGCCCCGGCACAAGCCTGATCAGCGGCTCCCCGGGATGGTTTTCGCTCCCGGCGTTTCCCTCAGCCACAGATGCTCTTTGTCCGGGCGCGGGGTGTGACCCTGGTTCGTTCCAGGCAGATGGTAGGGACAAAAAACCCCCAACACCTCAAATAAGGTCAGATTTTGCCTACAAACCCCATCACCCTGCGGTCAAAGCCCTGCCAAAGCCGGGTTTGGAGGGGAAAACGGACTCGGGGTGAATCGAAGTGCCAAGAATATCGATTGAATTCCTTATTCTCGATAGATCCCCAGCTGGGACGAGAGGAAATGTGAGGATTGCAACCTGCAGAGGTGCAGAAGGGGTGCATAAACTGGTAAAGAAGCCCTGAAGGGCCTGGTCAAAGGTCTGGCTAATCTCCCGTCCCCCTTTCCATCACGGAGGGCCGGAGATGAGTGTAGGATGCTCCAAGCCGGGCTCTCCTCCGGGACAGGGAGGTTTAATGTGCTCATTAACGTCACGGGGCGGGAGAAAAGCCTCAGAGGACAGCCAAGGATGCTGGAGGGAGGGAAATCGAGGTGACCGTGTCCCTCAAGAGCAAAGGAACGTCACCACGGAGGAATTCAGGCTGAAGAACGCGGGGAGAAAAAATGTGCCACCCCCTCCTCTGCCTTCCCAAATGCCTGGGGGGAGGAGGAGGAGGAAGGTGGGAAGGTAACTTAGGTGAAGATAGAGGTTGGGATCCACCCAACAGGGATGAATCCCCTCTGGAGCCCCCAAGGTGAGGATGGCCACGAGCGTGAAGTGGAAAGAAGGAAAACACGGGAAAGGCAAACCAAAATCCCAGTTATTCCAGTGAGAGGGACCAACCTGGCCGGTCCCACCCGCCCTGGGTGTTCAGTGATTTGTCAGTTCATTAGCAGAGGTGATGACAAGCCCAGCATCCAGCTGGGATCCAGGGGTGAGGAAGGGGCAAACCCCTCTCCCCTGTTCCCCAGCGATGCCCTCAACAGGGCCGTGCCAGCCGTACCTGCAGCCGCCACTGGCCCCAGTCACGCCCGGGGTGGGGACGGGAGGTGTCCCACGTGGTGGTGGCACCGTCCCCTCCTGGAAAAGCTCCCGCTGTCCCCGTGGCCACAGGCGAGAGGTAGGTGGGCACCTCGGGATGCTCCAACCCTCGAGCTTTCCCCTCCCCTGCTCTTTTTCACATCGTTATTAGACGTTGATGCCAAAAGAAGCCCTTTTGCCCTCTGGGAACCTCTCTCCTGCTCCAGCGCGGGTCCCTGGCCCTGCTCTCCGTCTCTCTCTCTCTCTCTTCTCTCTCCCGGGGACCAGCTCAGACCTCTCCACGTCACGGACAAGACCTGTCCCCGCTGGACCATCCGGAGCTTTATTGGGGATTAAAGGTGGCATCAGCCAGAAGGGCACATCCTCACTGCCCGGCGGGCGGGTGGGGGCAGGGGGTGGGTGGCCGCGTCCCCCCCTCCCTCCCCGGGGGCGAGCGGGGCACGGCCATGGGATGCCCCTCTCACCCGGCCAGCCCCGTTCCCTCTCGGCCCCCCGGCTGTTTTTAGGGCTCCCCCGGGGGAAGGGGGGGAATGGCGGCTCCCAAGCCTGCCGGGCGCCGCCACCGCTGCTGTGCCTGCCAAAATCCGTCCCCGGCCAATGACACGGTGGAGCCGAGAGAGGGGAGCCTTTCGGATGACATTGGCTGCGTTATCCCAAAGGGACCTTCCAAGGGTGCGGCTGGACTGGTTTGTTCCCCGTCTCTGCTCTCCCTCCACCTCTCCACGTGTGGTTAATGGCTCTTTTTCCAGATGCAGAGAGCGTTGGCGCTTCCATGCCCTGCCCAGGTGAGTCCTTGCAGGGGCTCGTGTGGGTGGGCAATGGGAAAGAATCAGCCTCCCCCCTTCCCGTCCCATTAAGGGGTCATGGAGTGACAGCATCTCCATTTTTCTGGAAAACCATGGAAATAGATCTTTTCCTGCCTCAGGAGAGTGAGGGAGATTGAAAGTGGGATGGATGGGAAGTGCAGGGAAAATTCCAGGTTTGGATGGATACGGAGGGGCCGGTGGAAACCCCAGCCCCGATTTCCTGGGACGGGATGTGCGAAACACAAACTCCCCCTCAAAATGACCTTCCTCTTCTCTCCGTTGCTCCCCCTCCTGTGTTTTTTTTATTATTATTATTATATTACTATTATTTTCCGCAGCCAGGGATTTCTGCTGAAGGATATCAGTTAATCAGATTCCGAGAAGCAGATGTTGGGTGATTTAGGAGGGAAAAAAGAGGCAACTTTCCAGTTCAATCCTCGGCCTGAGAGCAGGGGAAGAGCTTTGGAAAGGGGGGGTTTGTGGCTTTGGGATGGGCCTTTAATTTTGGTCTAAACAGAAAATGAGACACGGAAGGTGGTGGGGGGGCCTGGGGACAGATGGGGCACCTCCCTCTGGTGTTGGGACAGACAGACATCAGCACATTTTGGGCCTTTAAGGCAGGAAAAGGAACCTCAGAGCCCTGCTTAAAACAGGGCTGAAAATCCCCTTTCCACTGTCCCTGTCTCGACCCTGGCCATGATGTGTTAATTGTCCCATCATAGCTCTGTGCCTCAGTTTCCCCTCAAGGGATGATGCAGAGGGGCTCGGTTTGACGTTCCTGGAGGCTCCAGAGCAAAGCCAGATTTCAAAATTCAGTTCCAAGCCGTATTTCAAGACATCCAAATGCCTTCTGCAACCAAAAATCTTGGGATGAAGACGTCCTCCAAGCAGGGGCTGGGGAACTTTCTTGCCCAGCAGTATTACCAGTTAAGCACTTAATGTTTAAAATACCAAGATCATCTCATGGGGCTGCCTTAGGATGCAATTCCATGGCCAGTTTTAGCTGCTCTGAATTTGTCCCACTGCCAGGAGAAACTCCTGGGCAGGTGGGATACCCCTCTGTGCTCTCCCCCCAGGCTGGAGGTGTGATGGGTCAGGTCGGTTCCCCCATCCACTGAACACTA